TTTACATAATTTTATCGCATCCTACTTTTCGCAAAACTTTTCTTGGTCAAATTTTAGGTTTTGAAAAGAGTTATGAAACTCGTAGACTCATTATTGGCTCTGGTACCACCTGTGGCAGAACCGCTCAAAATAACACACCTTCGGAGGCGCCCGTCTTCCACTAGACACTAAGCACCCCGAAAGCAAGCTACATTAGACAGATTTCATCGAGCACACCTAAAGGAAGAACTCGAATAATCCATGTTTTTTCTCCAAGATACAATAATGAGAACGAGTTTACAATACTTAGTCCATTTCATACAACCAGAATTCTTAGAAATACATTATTACATTACCAAGTTCAGAGTGTAGAATTTAAACAACGGAATTACAATAAACATCTAACAGTAGAATACAAGGATCTGTCTGTGCCCACCAGAAGAATCCTCCACACAACAGCTACTCTTCAAGCTGCACCTACAACAGGGTAAATAAACCCTGAGTACATAATGTACTCGCAAGACTTACCTGACTAGTGGGAATAATTTCCCAACTCCAAAGGATATGATAAGCTTTATGGTTTGCTAGGTTTCCTTTTTGCAAAAAGCAATACTAGTAGTGAAGCCTTATGTATGTTTCTTATTAGCAGTCATGATTAGTTTATTATCTAACTACTCTAGGTAAGCACCTGTTCTACTTTCAAGCAAGAGTTGAGCAAACAGATCCATTTCACCATCTTTCATCTTCCAGTTCTTACTATGGTGCCAGATCGTAGACAAGTCATACCGTATTACCCGAGGATTCGCGAATCAATGTGTCCAGCTGGGTACCCTGAAACACATGCCCCGCTTGTACCCCAGGCACAAACAGGACCAACCCATCACTCTCCTATCAAGGAGTCCAGGTCCCCATCAAACTTGGACTCAAGCCCCTACAATCGAGTCCGGACTCATTGTGGTGCTTAGATCTACACCATCCCCGCCTCCAATCAATCGGTCCAGAAAGAGCCGAACCCACGACAAGAGAGCAATGAGCCTTCCCTACTCCCATAAACAAGTATGTGCTTAGGATAATAAGTACGTGACTGACTAGAATCTAATGCAACGGTCGGTCCTTGACCGACCGAGACGAGAAAATAGTGTAACCAAGCTATGCCCCCGTTGGCCGTGAGGACACAACCTCTTACACCCACCAATACCCGTACCATATCCATGCCCGGTCTTCATTTTCTTTCACCATTTTATCATGAGTGATTATAATAATCACCTATTACGAGTAACGGTGAGGTTACTCACGGTACCAATAGCCTAAGCATAGAAGCTACTTGACCTATCTTTGGTAGGACTCATAGGTAGGTTATCTATGCATGTAGTTTCCATATATATCCTATAACGTAAATGCACATCACATATATATACAGTGATCATTCAAAATAAGGGTTATGCACCGGGGCTTACCTTGGGCAGGCGTGGTGTTAGCTCAGTCAGTCCATGGCGGCTCTGAGACCTCTTCCTACACAAGGACCTCCTCCTCGTACTCTTCAATCACCTCTTCGTACTCCTGCTCGCCCTCGGTCACAAACTCTACCAACTCGCTTTCTACATACATGCAATGATGATGCAACACTCAATATTAAGGCAACAACAGTTCTTAAAATAAGAATACATCAACTAAGCCACTAAGCTAGCTCTAATGACTAAGATACCAGCATTAAGCGGCCTATAATCCACACATATTCTCAAGGACTTGTTCTTTTTTCTTTACAAATGAGCTGGACATCCCCATGGAGACGAACTAGGTTGAATGAGACCTTTGTCCAACAGTTCTTGTAACTAAATTTTAAGTTCAGCTAACTTATTTGGTGGCATTCTATAGGGTCTTCTTGAGATAGGTGCCGTACCTGGCACTAACTAAATCTTAAATTCCACATCCCTATTACGAAATCCCTATAATAAATTTGCAACATGAACAGTTGCACCTGAATCAATCAACCTAGTAGAATTTGCATAAATCAAATACAAGGATTCGTCTATGAATGTAATGAAATCCTCACCTCTCTTGGAAGGCTCTTGAAGTCTAGACAGATCCCTCTAGTAATGTCCATGCTTCTTACACCATTACACTTGATCCTTCTCAACTTGAGCATTGTTGTTCTTGATGGTGGTCATTCCGAGGGGCTTTCCTTGAGGTTTGGCATTCTTATTGAAGTTCTTCTTCTTATTGTCCTTCACAAGGTTAGCAGAGTCACCACAGTAAGTATTTCACCTCTCCTCTTCAAACACACATTGCGATGAGTTTCTCTATATCCCACTTATCGAGTGCATGTTGTAATTAACAACAAAAGTTTCATATTCCTTTGGCAAGGAAGCAAAAACTAAATGAATCAGGAACTTATCCTTGAGCCCCAAATCCATTGGCTTCAGCTTCAAAGCCGTGTTGCTCATCTTCAGTATGTGCTCTCTGATACCGCCACCAGTATATTTTTCATTGAATAATTTCTTGATCAAAGTACTGGCATAAGCCTTTGAAGAGTCAGTGAACTGACTCTCCACCTTTTTAAGATACTCTATGGCGGTATCACAATCTGGGATAGACCCTCTTATTGCATCTAAAATTGTGGACTTAGCCACCATCAAGCACTTGCGGTTTGAAATGTCCCATTTCTTGCGTTCGAGATCATATTTCATCCGCATACGCATGATCTCATTGCCGAAGTAGTGAAATCAAACATCGATCTTATTATCTTCCCTCACCGGGTCCACTGGCTCAGTCGGACATGGAAAGGTAAGCGCTAGGTCATTTTTAAACAACGTAAGTGCTAGTTCATACTTCTCTCGCCATACCCTGTAGTTGCCCCTTCAAGAGGCGGTATGTGCAAGATAAAGGCCATTGGGTTGAGTCATGAAAAACACCGTCAAAGATAGTGAGAAAATATGACATCATAATTGCATGCTTTAATTTAACGTTGATCAAAATTAAAACATACAACATTCTTATACACTAATTCTACATCACCGTTGGGAAGAAATGCAATTAATGCATGGAAAACTTATGAATAAATATTATAATATTGCTATTATCAATGTTGGTGAGAAAAATAATAATATTATAATTTACTGAATAAAATTCAACTGCTCTTCAAATTAAATTCTCCCGTTGGTTCGAATTTAAATAGAAGATAATAAACTTTAACATCACAATGGAAACATTAACTTAATTGAGTGAATTTTAGAAAAAATCTCTTTGCTAATTTTCTTGAGCCATTAATCATTTTCCAGGAGTTAACCATTTTACTGGAAAAAGAAAAGGAAAAATGGACTCAATTCTTTAATGTTTCTTCGCCTGAATCGCTTTTAGCCAGCCCACCTTGCTTGTCGTCGTGGCGCCTTCCTAGGCCACAAACAGGCCTAGGCCGTGCCAAGCCACCGCTTGGCTTCGCGCCCGCTTTGGGCCGGCCTCGACCCATTGCTTCTACGCCGCTCGATGGAGATCACTTGCCTGAACACGCCTCGGCGGAACAAAATGGCCGCGACGGCGCGCCACACCACCAACCCTAGCCATTTGCTCTCCCTTCTCTCTCTCAGCCCATGCAAGCGAATGAGCATGATCCTTGTGTGAGCCGAGCGAGTATGATGATGATAATCGTCAAGGCTGTGCAGCGCCCTAGCGGGTGAGCGCGCGCCACCGTCAGCGGCTTTGGCGGTGGTGCCCTAGCGTGGCGTGGAGCCGTGCCCTAAGCGCAACATGGAGCCCTTCGAGTACTCACGGTGAGTGGAGGCCGGTGAGGGAAGCCTCAAGCCGCTGTCCCAAGCCCTTCCCTTTCCCTTCTTCTTCTCATGTATTGGATCTTCTTCTATTCTTCTTAGATCTGGTCTGATCTGGGGTTAGGGTTAGGGTTAGGGTTAGGTTCGGGTTACTATTCATCTTCCCCGACAGGTTAGGGTTAGGGTTCGAGTACTTTTCGAAACCGAGACCCCCTTCTTACTCCTTTTCTTCACCCGGTTAGGG